GCATAGAAATTTCCGAGAATAGCATTGCTTCCAATCATGGAATTGGCGCTAAGAACGCTTATGAATGCAATCTACCCTCTCATATCAAGGGGGCTTCCGGAACTTCACTGCAGCGGCACTTTGACGATTGCGAGGTTATCGAAAAGCAACTTCTGTAATGCAAGCTTTGGACGAAGCCGCCAATCATGACTTTGCCCTTGACGAGGAAGAGAAGTGGCAATGAAAAGCAGAACCCAAAAAGCCATCCATGAAAACAGGACGGGAAAAAGTAAAGCATGCCCGATACTAAGTTACTGAATAAACTCCGCGGTGCTTAAAAACAGTTGGTAACAATGATACCTACTCTAGAAATGACCTCAAAATGAACCATGATTATTACAAACCAATAGTTTTCGAGCACATGGAGTCTTAACTATACTGAAAAAAATCGTAGGGATATATCAAGCCAATAAGTTGTGTTGAGCTATGTTGTGTTGATTGGAGTAAACGAGTTGCATTAAATTGACACTACAAAGTTGGATTAGGAGGCGTTGTGTTGGTGCAACACAATTTGTGTCATTTCAACACAATTTTTCTTGAGTCAACACGGCTATTGTTGGCATGAATGAACACTAATTTTTGTAAAAAAAGAACACTACCGATTGTCTCAAATTGAGAAAACGATTTTCTCGTATCAAGAAATCTTCATTGTAATACAATAACACAATAAAAAAGTTCTCAAATGAAGGGAACAATTATTTTGAATCAAGAAATTGTCGCTTTAACTTGATACAATGCTGTGTATATTTTGGAGCAAACGAGGTCTCTTATAGTCAAAAGTTGCTTTGGAGCCAGGTAAATTCTATGTAACCTTAAAACCATACAAGAATATAGAGACAAAGCGTCGTATAATTTAGTTGTAAACGGCGTATCATGTAAATCTAAAGAATGTGTCAAAAGAATTGTCGAGGCCTACAAAGGCTGCTTAAATACAGAAACAATGCAGGAACTAACGATTAACGACAAATTTGTAATTGATTTAAACGTCTACAGTCGGAACCAACAATTCTGACTGCTGTACAATTCGAAGATGTTCCAGGATACGAGTCTTCATCCAAAATTGCCAGTTTTTACATAGAATACAAACCTTCTTCATGTGTAGCCTTGAAACCATGTTAAAAAAAAAAAAAATCTATGTACTAATAGTATTTTGTTCAAATATTTTCACATATTTTATTTTCATTACATTTATTTCAACCTACTTTATTTTATTTATTTCAATCTACTTAAGTTTATTTTATTCATTTATGTAAATCCACTTCATTTCATTTTATCTATTCATTTTCATTTTATTTCATTTTATCTATTCATTTTTATTTTATTTCAGTTTATCTATTTATTTTTTATTTTATTTTATTTCATTTTATATTTATTTATTTTTCTTCATATTAGTTTTTCCTTTGAAACCGCATGGAAATTTCCGAGAATATCATTGCTTTCAATCATGCAATTGGCGCTGAGGACGCCTATGAATGATATAAAATTTATTGAAAGATGCTACGGTGAGGAAATCGAGACCGTCTTCACCCAATTATTCATCCGTCGTAACGTTAAGTATACGGTTCTTCCCGTACAAACGTTACCAGGTGTACCAAATCTCTTCAAAAATTCATTTCCAGCTCCAACGACATTGCGACTTTTTTAAACGACCCTCATGATTCGGTTATCGTCTTCATTGAAAATAAGAAACAGGTAAACACGTTAGCTGCCGGGCTGAACGGTATCGGTTTTCCTGTCGTTCGCTACCATAGCGACATGACTCCCAGCGGCAAAACTGTTGCTATGGACAGCTGGTTAGGTGGTAATCCTCGTTTTATTATTGCGACGTCGGCAATATCTCTTGGCGTAGATAGTGAACGATGCGTCGGTACCGTACATTTCGGGCAGGCCTCTTCTATCTACAACCTGATCCAGGAAACAGGTCGTGTAGGTAGGAGAGGACAGCCATCGGAGTGCATTACGGTCACCGATGCGTCGTTCACCTACAATAAGCTGTGTTCCACCATCGAATTCCATCAAAAGCGGGTTGCACTCGTATCAAGTGGGACAATTGAATGCGTTGCAATCGCTGCACTAAGATGGTTGTGATCAGGTAGGCTACATTTCCACTAATAGCAGCAGATCAATTTTAGAGGAGTATGCAGATTCAAAAATAGCCTTAAAACTGAAAAAGAAAATCCTTCTAAAGTTTTACCGAGTAATGTTTTACCGTGGTGCTTCATCATCGTAGATGTCAAAAAAATAAATAATTAACTTTGCTGATCCTCCTTTTGTAGCTCTCATTTCGAGCTCTTTTAGACCCTCGATGGATCAACAGAACGTATACCTCAAGATACGGGGGGAATGCGAGCGAAACGAGAGCAATTCAACATACCCTCCAATTACATGATTGCTCTAATGAAAAAGTACACGGAGCATGATATCATCACATTATCACTCCATAGTTTTCAACCGAGTAAGTTTTGCGAAAAGGAGCCAAAAATGGATCAATCCAGACTCTCGCCTTACAAGCGCGGAGGGCGTGAACGAATCTAGTATTCTGAGGCAAAAATCCTTACTCACTGGGATTAACAATGGAGCGTCTCGCATTTATGTACCAAAAGGATGACTGCTCACGATTCAACTCTTCTGGCGTGCCTTTTAAGGATTCGGATGAGACTTATCCTTAGTGACAGAAATTTGGATTTTAAAGAACACACACATTTTGGAGCGAGATACACAACATATTTCCAGCAATACATATGATAATAGTGACTGCAGTAATTTCACCTTCTGGGACTAAATCTTGTCACGATGTACTAGTTTAACGCCTACGTGCAAACTTTGATGAAAAAATGAGTCATCTTGGTATAGAGTAAGAGAGCAGAATTTAGGTAAACCCATAGATTTTCCATTGCCGATAATGAGCAAGGCATCAAAGGGCATGAAATTATGGAAAGTTGTACCTGTACCGCGATCTCGTGGGTCGGGAAAACGAGTTCTAACAATTTTCTTCGTTTCTTCCGGCAATCGGATTATGTTCATCTTTCGCTCGAGTAAAGTGTGATACTTTGCAACTTTTGTTTTTGTAAAAAATTTGTCAGGAGAAAACTAAAAAACTGCGTTTCTGCACGAAATAGTAAGAGCTTTGAATGCTGCATGTGAATATAATCATGTGAAAGTAAGCTAGTGTGCGTAGCAAAGCTGACTCATCTGAAGTGGTGGACCGGAGTAAAATGAAAAAATCTGGACTGAGAAGTCGATCAAGATCAATCACCGACTCACCGATGCAAAGGCTACTCAAATGAAGCCGTACACTTTACTCCTTGATAACCGAAAAAATTCGACCTTAACAACGAGAAAAAAGGTGATAAGACACACAAGAAGAACATTCAAGAAGAGCACATTTCTCTTATGCAGCCCGGGTCGAATTAATTAGGTCATACCACCCTTGATTCATCTTCTACAGCTTCCATCAAAAATTCTATGGTGCCGTTTCTTGGAAAATACGGTATTACGGTATTGCCATAGGTTCTGACGGGACAGCAACCAATACTAGCGCCCACAATGGCGTCGTGCGACAGTTAGAACTATTACTTCAGAGACAACTTCAGTGGCTTGTTCGTTTATTACGTAGTAACGAGCTTCGTCCTCCGACGATATATTTCGCTGTTCAGTAGTTATCTGACACAATTTTCTGGATAGCATCGCCGGTCCACCGATATTTCAATTCGCATCCGGCAACGATTTGGAGAAATTTGAGAATGAAAAGATTCTGCTACCTCTCGACGTCTCGTTGAAAAAAATTACGTGTCATACCCAAAACGAAGAGAGATGCGTACAGATCGGAATCGAGGTTCCCTAAGCTTGCTGCGGTGAGGAACAAGGAGACGAGTTCATAAGCGCTAAATTGCTATCGCGCGAGGAAATTCCGCTATTCCGTACCGAAGAACATTCCAAAGTTGGCTGAATCACAGTCAAAGATGACCAGTGTCCTTTTTAAAGGAATTGAACATTTTTTTGAGGAAGACGATGGCGGTTGGTCAAGAATTGCACAATAGAAATAGGGCAGGAAAATACTGAGTTCATGTAACACCATTGAAATTAAAATTGTTCAAAAAATCGTCATAATGGGATGAATAATTTATTAATTTTAAAAAATACGGTTGTAGTATGATATAATGTGTCTCAATAAAAAATTTGTTTGACAAATTTTAATGTTTCTTCGTTCATTTAATAGGTCGTTTTCAAGGAAGGGACGTGTCGACAATGCAAGTTATACAATGTTCTATTGACAAAAGGGAAAATGAATATTTAAAAAAAAAGAAGAAAGAAGAAATAGGATCATACGAAGCAGTGCCCGTAGGGGGGACTTCAGTGTCACAGGTATAGCAATCCTGCGGACCCCAGCTGGTAGCCCCTGCCTCAAAGGGGGCTTGGAGTTGGTCACCGGCTTTTAGGCGTAGGAATCACCCAAGGGAAGGGCAGACAGGGCTCTTAGTTGCAGTGAAAGCAACCTGTCTAGGAGAGGCAACTCCGAAATCAAACTCTGGTCCTCCAGGTTGGGGGTTGAGGCATCGGGCTGACTCCTCGATTCTCATAAAAAATAAATTGTCAAAAACCCCAAATCGAGCCTCGGTATCAATGGAATTTTACGGAAAAATCGACAAAAGTTACGGAAACGGACCCTTTTATTTGGAACTTGGAATGTGCAAGGCATTTCCAAGAAATTGACGGAAGTGGTGTCGGAGATAGAAAGTCGCGACGTGGATTTGGCTGTTTTGACAGAAGCAAAAAAGAAAGGGCGAGGATCTGAGAGTATTGGAAATTACGATTTGTTTTACAGTGGCGTGCCGAAGGACCAACGTGCTCAGCAGGGTGTTGCAATCCTTGTCCGTAAGATTCTGCGTAAGTGCGTGAAAACGTGGGAAGCGATTAGCCCCCGTATTATCCGGATGAACCTCGTTGTGTTTGGACATATGATGACTGTGCTAGGGGTGTATGGAGTCAATGACGACTTAACTGTCGCAGTGAAAGACCAATTCTTTAAGGAGCTTGATGAAGAGATTGGAAATATTGGACATAGTAGAGAAATCGTTGTGTTGGGAGACTTAAATGGGAGAACAGGTCGTCAGCTTAATAGTAAAATCGTAGGACCATTCGGTGAGGCTACATTGAATGATAATGGCAATCGTATCATTGACGTTTGTGAGCAAAGAGGTTTGAAAGTGCTCAGTGGGTTTTACCAACACAAGGATATACACAAGTTTACGTGGGTCCAGCCTACGCGGGGTTTACAGTCTGTCATCGACTATGTGATAGTAAAGCAAGACACCAGCTTAAAGGTACAGCAAGTTAGAGAGTGGAGAGGTCTTCCCTGCGGCAGTGATCACTACTTCCTTGGGGCGGCCATAGCTTTCCCTGTGAGGGGCTGCCATGAGAACAGGCAAACACAACAGCAGACTTTGCCACAAGTGGACCGTATAAGGCTTGTGAAGTATAATATCGAAAGTCTGCAGCATCCAAGTGTTAAGGCACTCTACGGACGGCGATTGGACGAGAAGTTAGGTGAAGCAAGAGATAGTGATACCGAAGGCCAGTATCAATTTTTAAAGGATTGCATTCATTCGGCAGCAATGGAAGCTCTCGGCGTTTCGGATAATAATGGAAGTCCAAAGAATAACCTTACTGATGGGATGAACAGATAGAGAGTGAGATTAAGGATAAGCGTGAAAAATATCATCGGTTCCTTTCTTCGAGGAAGGTTGAGGATAAGACGTCCTACAGGCACGCTCAGGCTAAGGTCAGACGGCTCATTACGGAGAAAAAGAACGAATCGTGGGAGAGAAGTTGTTCTAGGTTGGACGCCTGTCTTGGAGGAAGGAAAAGCGCCGAGAGCTGGAAGTTGTTGAAAGGGCTACGCCGGGACATGAAGCGCGACATAATATCTCCGATATCAGTTGAAAAACTGGAGGACCATTTTAAAAATCTATTGACAGAGAGGCGACCGGAGTTTCAATACGAAATCACAAAAACTGAGTGTATTAACAACGTGCAGGCAATATGAAGTAAGTTTTGTTTGCTCACAACGCACTTCAAATACGTCACTTTCCAGCTGCAGACACTGAAAATGCATTGAAGTGTGTGATTAATAGGATTCCATTTTGGCTCTAAAAATGTATACTTCTTATTTTTTCAGGTTTTACTGATCGTGTACTCCATCCACCTGCCAGACTAGAGGAACATCGTGCATCTTGCTACTGTCGCTGGGCCTCAGCCATTCTTCAACATATACATCAATGGATTCATTACGGCTTTGACTATCTAATTATAGCAAAATTTAGAAGAAAAACTAACTTTATCTGAGATTACTGCCTATTACCAAGCAAGACTAGGTGTAAGATAATAGGACGCAGTCCCAACTTTCTTAATACATTCGTTTTAGGCATTTAAAATTCGTTTCGAAGAAGAAATATGGAAAAATTAAGAGGACAAGTTCAAATCAAATTTCCGTTTGCCGTAATGGATCCCCGCGCTCATTTACACACCAACACAAGCACCCAGCGCCCAACCAGGTTTCACTTTTTCCCCGTGCTTTTAGATACGAGCACTCCGTCCTTATCTTTGAATGGGACTGTACTTTCATTGATCCAGGAAACCTAACCTTAATTTCTTATTTGAAAGTAAACTGGTGTTTTGTATTTTACCCTGCGTCTTATAGGCAGAGGAAAATCGTAGCGTCATCGCAATCGCGTTGTTTTTCTATCAAAGCCGATGCAAACCTGCCTCCCAAAGTAATAGAAAACAATAAATAAATTGGAGCCGCTACTAGAGGCAATTGTTTAAATGATTGAAATCAGCCCAATGCCGGAATAATGTACGAGACAGAGGAAAATTAAGAATAAATTCACAAACACGATGAGCAGCTTTAGAATTTGTCTGAGATTCTCTAATACATTTGATACAAGTCTGAATTGAAATATGTAAAAATTGCTCATTTTCAAATCTTTTTTTTAAATAAAAAAAGCTGAGGTGTAGATTTGCAGGCTGTAATTTGTTTTTCGATTTCCTCAAATTTTCTCCTATAATTTACTCGAATTTTTTCCGAAAGAATGGAAAGACTCTTGGGTGACAGCGTGGTATAAGGGGAAAGGCAGAAAGGACGACTGTGATAACTACAGGGGCTTATCAGTCCCAGCAACGCTGAGCAAGATTTATGGCAAGATTCTGAAAGCAAAGATCGAGGAGGAATGGAAAGAACATGAAGCGGTGGAGCAAGCAGGTTTCAAAGCAGGGAGATCAACGATCGATCATTTATTTACCATCACCCAAGTGATCGAAAAGAAAATGATGGTGGGCCAGGGGTTGCATTTGGTGTTTGTGGACCTGCAGAAATTCTACGATAGTGTGCCGTTAGTGAAGCTTTGGGAAGCCTTGAACAAAAGTGGTTTTAGTGGGGGGTTGGTGAATGCTATTAAGGAATTTTATAATGCGACGTATGCTAGGATTAAAACACACGGGGGCTTATCCTCCGGATTTTTTGTAACTAAGGGATTAAAACAAGGATGTTGCCTGTCGCCAACCTTGTTTAAAATTTATCTGGAAACTGCATTGAAAGAATGGAAGAGGAAATGTGCAAATATGGGCGTCCCGCTGGAAGATGGTGGCACACTCTATACTCTATGCTTTGCTGATGATCAGGTGGTGGTGGCGCAAGACGAGGAAGATGCAGATTACATGACACGCAAGTTAGTGGAGGAATATCGAATATGGGGCCTTGATGTTAGTCTCTCCAAAACTGAAAAATCGGTTATTGGTGGTGATCAGCAAGGTATAGAGTTGGAGGATGGCCGGTACATCAACGGATGTGAAGAGTACAAATACCTTGGAGTATGGCTGACCCAAGATGGGAAGTTTGATCGGGCCATCAGAGAACGTACTGTGCAAGGAAGAAAAGCCATCGCGATGTTAAACGAGGTTCTCTGGGATCAGAGAATCTCGAAGAAAATAAACGGAGAATTTACAGCGCCATCGTGAAGAGCATAGTTACGTACGGGAGTGAGGTCTGGCAATTAAAGAAAAGATCCGAGGATATCTTACGGGCAACCGAAATGGACTTTTGGCGAAGGTCTGCAGGGATCTCGCGGAGAGAGCGCGTTCGTAATGAACGAGTGCGTGAAATAATGGGAGTTGAGGAAGATATTGTGCACGATATCAAAACCAAGCAGCTGGTTTGGTATGGACATGTGCGGAGAATGGCAGATAGTAGGTTGCCCAGAAAGGTGTTTGATTGGGTTCCTCCCGGAAGAAGGCGGCGTGGACGTCCAGTAAAAGGTTGGCGAGAGGGAGTGGAGGGGGAGATCAGACGGTGTAATCTGCCCGATGATTTGTGGGAGGATCGATTCCGATGGCGATTTGGAGTCGCAGAGCGCTCTAGTGCGCTGAGGTAGCGGCTTGATATGTATGTATTAAGTTTTTAGTTGGGTTCCTCCTGGGAGGAGACGAATCTCTTCACGTTGACATTCAGAGCACTGGGCAGAAATCACATCGCGTCTACGCCGGTAATGTGCGGCCTTCACGATGCTCTGTTTTAATTAAACAGTCGGATTCCCCGGGTCCGAGAACAGTTCTGAGCACGACCAGGGTTTGTTGGCCCGGTGAAAGGTTGGCGACAGGGGGTTACGGATGAGATGAGGGAGTGCCAACTCCCTGATGACCAGTGGGAGGACCGCATTTTGTGCCGGTTAGGCGTCGCAGAGCGCCGGAGAGCGCTGTGAGAGCGACTCTTACGCATGTGCGTATTAAGTTTTCAGTCTTTAGTCTAGAATTAGACATAATTTATATTTTCTAATTCTTGTAAAAGGAGGTGAATGATTAAAAAAAAAAATAAATAAATAAACACCCTTACGGTAGAATACGATCAGGTTGTGCATTGCGGTATCACGAACATTACTAAGGAATTTACTCGATCTTTTCGTTATGTTCTTTAAAGTGCCGTTCCCCTGAGGAGTGAAACGCCTACTCCCTTTGAAAACGGCAACACGACCGAACAACGGCGAATCGAGGAGACTTTCGTGATTCAATCACAACCAAGTTCACCTATAGGTGAGCCGAACAATGGCGGGTATGTTATTAAAAATTTCACAATCCATGACTCGCACTGACCAATAGCATCGCGGGTGGGACCATGGGACCTATCGAGGGCGGGGGGGCAAAATTATAACATCTAATAATACGAATGTATCGCCGGGCGCAGTTTAGCCTTGCATAATTCTGCGCGCAGTTGAATCAGTTGTCTTCCAGAGGGTACAGGTCCATTCCTCGATGAGTCTCAGTTAGCACGATCTACAATGCAAGCCAAGGCTCATGCTAAAACAGACTTGTTTCCTTTTGAAAACGCCCGATTCAGTTGGGACGAGACCCGAGTCGAATTTCGTGCTCCCGTTGGCTTGGCCCTGACGTCACCGGCTCAAAACCAACAGCGAACAAATTCCCACAACCTCCATCGACCTCCCTCCGGTCGTATATCATAAGGACTGCCGAGAGGGCCCCGGAGGCCCCCAGTCGCGGATAGCCGCCAGATAGTCCTCGGAAACTACCTCTTCCCTGGAGTAAAAGCCCCGTTCCGCGGCAACCCAACGACCTCGCGACTCAGTTATACCGCCTTTACCTGCAGCTTGGTCGTCCATGGATCGCAACAACGGCTCCGTGCCCCGCGTAAACCTGCCCTGGGCAGTAACAGATGGGGGAAGAGCAAGAGGGGAGGAGAGAGGAAGAGAGATATCGCCACCTTCCGGGCAAAGTATCACAAACGCCATGAGGCGTTTAAAAATTTCCGCCTCCGTTTTGTTTCTTACAGAAAAATTGTTCAACGAAGCTGTCCGAAAAATCACTGAATTTTTTCGGCAGCACAAAGGACAGCTTCGTTGAACAATTTCAATTCCTCTGTAAGAAATAAAATAGCGGCGGAAATTTTGAAACATCGAATGGCACTTGTGATACTATGGCCGGAAGGTAACGATATGGAGGCTTACAAAGGGGCCATTTGAGATCATTCTTGCGGAAATTTTGGAAAAAAGCTCTCGAGCTCAAGGGTCAGTTGACCATTCTCAAAAAATGATCGAGAGGAGAAAATGGTTTTTATCTTTACATTTGATTCAAAATGAAAATGTATAGAGTTAAACTTCTTTTAGTGATAAAAATCACTTGTCATCCCACATATAATCATCGATGGATCGAGGAGAAACAGGACCGATTTTAAGAACATGTTAAGTCAACACGTAACTGCAAAGGTGGGTAAATCTTCACATGCGTGGTATTGAAAGGCAGATTCAAAAAGGACGATCCTTGATATAATATAGATAAAAGTGATCTATGGTTTAATATTAATACTTTGCAACACACGCACCTTTTCAAAGGAAGGTGGTTGAAATAATCGTTCCAACTCCTTAAATTCCCACGTAATTTCCAACGCCTGCTTAAAGCAGGACAAGCAAAAAAGCAGCACATACTGAATGTTACGGCTGAAGCCTATAAGGTTCATGGTAAACATAGGTACCCATCGTCGTTCGTTTTTTGAATGAAGCTCCCTTTGAAATTTAAACATGTGTTTCGACAAAATTATCGAGGTCTTTATCAGTTTATGATTTTTTTGTTGCAGACATTCAGGAAGCTGATCACATTTATGGCTACTAAAAATTTGTCGGAG